GTAGGGGTTTTTGGGGGTTTCAAGCGGGTTTCTAGGGGGTTTCTAGGGGGTTCTAGGGGTTTAGGGATGTATAGGGTGAAGGGCTTAGAGATGGATCGGTTGTGCAGCTTTGCGTTTTGGGGCATCGGGACTGCTGGGTGCATTCTATGGTGGAGTCCTGTCCGGGCTTTTCAGGGTTCAGGGTTAAATTTGCGAGATGTTCAGGGCTCCGGGTTTTGGAGACTGGCAAAGGGCACTCGCATGTCCGGCTTGATTTCCACGGTCTCATTACGGCTAATGATAGGGGTCCCATTGTTCAATAAAAGCTAAACTTTGCCCTTTACTCCTCAAACCCCTTCCTTGGGTGCCCGGCAGGTGTCTACCCGCGGGGCCAAAGCTAGCTCATTCAGCAACTGCTCGGTCCACCTGCCCAGATCGGGGTTTAGAGTTTAGGGTTTAGGATTTTTTGGGGTGTAGGGTTTAGAGTACTAAGGCTCCTTTCAGCTTCCTTTCAGAGACTACCTGCTCGGTCCACCTGCCCAGATTCTCAGGACGCTTTTGGATTTTAGGGCTTGGAGGTTAGGGCTCTTGTAGGGTTTGGGATTCAAAGCCCTAAACCCTAAACCCTAAACCCTAAACCCCGCTAAACCCGCTTCGGGGCTTAGTGCTCTTGGAGCTCCTTCAGGACTTCGGGCTCCTCTAGGACTCCTTTAGAGTTGAGGGTTTAGGCTTTAGGGCTTAGGGTTTAGAGGCATTGGGGTTTAGGGTTTAGGGTTTAGGGTTTAGGGTTTAGGGGGATCTAGGCTTAGGGTTTAGGGGGATCTAGGCTTAGGGTTTAGGGTTTAGGGCTTAGGGTTTAGGGGAATTGGGGTTTAGGGTTTAGGGTTTAGGGCTTAGGGTTTAGGGGAATTGGGGTTTAGGGGAATTAAGGGTTTAGGGGAATTGAGGGAGTCCTGTTCCCGCTGCCTTGTGGTGCCTTTTCGGTTTAGGATTTGCTGAAGGAGCTCATGGGTTCTCTTAGATCTTCTGGGATCATAGGGCTTACAGTATAGGGCTACAGGGCTTATAGTAGGGCTTATAGGGTTTTTTGGTTGAGGGGTTAAGACTAAACACCGAACCTCGAAACCCTAAACCCTAAACCACCCCAAAGTAGGTAAAATAATGGCCCAAGACCTATAAAAAACCCATTATTCTACACACTTTTTGGGTCCAGATAGACCCCAAGCCTAAACCACCAAGCCCTGAGCCCTAAATGCTCAACTCCAAACACCTGGACCTACGACCCAAGCCCCTAAGCCCCCAGCTCAAACATCATAATATAGAGGCCTTAATTATTCGAATAGGGTTTCCGGGTCTATTATACTAGAATTATAGTAAGGAGCCCCCAAAACCCGATTCTATTTATTGAATCCCCTATATTAAGCTGCCGCGAAGCTCCCAAAAAGAACCCAGGAGGCCTCAAGACGCCGAGCCACGCCAGAAAGCGAGAGAAGCGACCTCAACAACAGCGGGGTGGGATTTTTCGGGCGCTAGCTTAAAGAGTACTTGCTGTGGTGCTTTGGGGCTTCGGGGTCTGGTTATTTAGTTTGGGTTTAGGGTTTAGGGTTTAGGGTTTAGGGGTTAGGGTTTAGGGTCTGGGGTTTAGGGTTTAGGGTTTAGGGTTTAGGGTTTGGGGATCGAAATTTACGGTTTGGGTTGAGAAGACAGGCTATGCCATCTGCAACCCGGGAAACTGGGCGGTAAATCGTGTCCTGGAGGTACGTGCTGCCGTTTACTCCCGATGTCCACGGCTTCAAAGCACAGTATCATTGCTGTTGTTACCACTTCTAGTATGTTTTGCATTACAATCAACACCAAGCAGCGATTTCTACGCGTCTTTGATTAAGGAGGTCTGTGTCTGCTTGGGGAATAGATTCGCACCGGCTACAGCGAGTAGAAGTGACAATTGTAACAGTCACCCCAACAAGAACCCTAAACCCTAAACCTGATCTTTAGGTAGTAGTATTAGGGGTACCTCTTAAAGGGTACCCCTTCTGAACCCTACTTGTGGCTCTCTTAAAAGGGACCTTATTGAGAGGACCTAATCCTAGCTCCCAATCTTGAGCCAGGTGTCTGATGTCCACGGTCTCGCTGGGCCAGCAATGGAGCTCGAGCGTCGACTCGGGCACGTGCAGTTCCTGTCACCCGGTGCATCAATAGCTTCGTGTGTGACAGAAACTGCTGTCACCTCTTCGTTGCCCTCAAAACAGCATCACTGCCATCAGCATGTCCATTATCATCCCTGTCGAAATGAACACATCGTGATCATCATCACTCATCGTCATGTTGTTACAAACCTTATCATTCCTCTCGATATTACAGCTGGGGTTGTTCTTAAAGGCACACCTGTCATCGCATTCTCCTCCATCACGTAGAAGCTTCGCCGCTTTTGCCATGAACACCATTTCCATTCATAGTCTCGTTGTTACTCTTATTGCTCTTGCGATTACCAGTATCACTATCCTTATCATCATCATCGTCATGATCACAACCAAAAGCATCCATCATCGTCACCAGCATCCTGATAGCCATCCTGATTCATCTTCGCCGCCGTCCAGCTTTGGCGACGCTGCATCTGTCTTTGACGCTGCAAAGTTCGGATTTTCGGGTCATTGCCACGACCTCAAAACTCGGCCGTCAAAGGGGGGATGGAAAGCTTCATGGACTTTGTCAGCTTTGAGGATGCAGGACTGAAGATTGATCTTTCGGGGTTGCTCCTAGCAAAAATGGCCGGGAGAACTTTGCTCGTCGCACCGGGACTATAAAAGTAGTTCAACTTGTCCTCGCCCTTGTAAGGCACCATGCATCCGTGCAAATGCCACACCTTCGGCTTGGTGTGCATAAACTGATATTCACATGGTATGCGAGCACGTGGCCTAAAGCCCCATACGATCCCATCCAGACTCATCGCCAGCTTGCACCGGAAACTCCCAGTTGACACAAGTAATGTAGGGGCCTTAAAAAGTTGCTTATACTATTTTGGGTCTTCGTTGCTATATTTATAGTATAATGGGCCCAGAAATCCGATTCTAATTGTTAAGGCCCCTATATTCACCAACACGAACCAAAATGAAAACCCATGGCACCTGGAGTGCTGCTCGGCTTTTGGCCCGCGCAAGCTGGGTCTGGAAAGGAGGCTTCAAAGGAGACAACCTGGTAAAGGGTTTAGGGTTTAGGGTTTAGGGTTTAGGGCTTGGGGTTTAGGGTTTAGGGTTTAGGGTTTAGGATTTAGGGTTTAGGATTTAGGGTTTAGGAACTGCACGAGGCTGGCTTAAGTGAAGCTTCCGGACGTTTTGGCATCACTTCATCATGATGCAAGAGCATCACTGTGCAGGGCTGCCACGTTCTGAAGCTCCGTCGCCGAGAGGGTACCGTCATGTGCACCAGAGTTCCACTGGTGAACCCGACCAAAATAGTCCCTAAAGAGTCTTTGCCGTTCCTCTTCACTCATGATTTCGGCCAATTCTTCGGGCTGGACCACCTCGCCCAGAAGGGCCTTGCCACGCACCCGTCTTAGCAGCTTCATTGCAACCAAACCCATGGCTGTTGTCATGCTAGATGCTATCGCAGCATCAGAAACCATCCCCACTGCGTTCAAGCCGGGAACCATCTTTAGCAGGTTGGATGCGAGGTAGCCGCCCCAACCAAGAGGAGTCGAGCAAAAAATGGACATGCAGAAGGTAAGCGCCATGCGTCGGGAGAAGATCTTGTCCGCGCGATAGACCGCCGCCAACGTCACGACCATTAGAACTTGCAATGGGATTAGCAGCAAGCGAGCAGAGAATGGAACGGGGGAGCACCCAACTATGAGCGCCCCTGCAGCAAATACAGCAATCGTTGCTGTGGCAGCCTCGTCAAGGCCTTCTAGCCATGCATTTTGAGCGCGGAGAAAGGAGTTTGCCACCATGTCTGGCAGCACTTCCACAGTCATCTTCATCAACTCACCCACACCATAGGATGCCTGAATCTGCACTTTTGTTGAATCGCAAGCATCGCAGCTGTAGACCCGTTGCTTCGTTTTCACACAAATGTCATCTGAAGAGCAGTGCTCACACTGAAGTTTGAGAGGGCCCATGCTAGGTTCAGCGGCAACCAGGACCACTCCACGAGCCCATGGGCAATGCTCGCGAACTTGGCTCTGGACTTCGTGCACGAAGTCTGCGTGAGTATCACACTTATTCAGAACCATGATGACAGGGATTGCATCATTGTTGCAAAGCTGGTACACCTTATGGATGCTGCTAGGTCTGAAGCGCCCACCTGCTAATACATCGATCACCCACCAGACGACATGCAACTGCTCCTTCAATCTGTCGGGGTCATCCGCTTCATACTTGTTTGCGGCATCCCTTCTTTCGGCAATCAGCTGCTTCAGCTGCTCCAAAGCGGTTTCATCGCCATCAAGAGTCTCGAAGCCCTTGGTGTCATAGATATGAACGGGACAAGCGTCTGTTGCAGGGTACAATGTAATCTTCTCCGTCACTGGCAAACCGGCACCTGCTGAAGCGACTGCATTGCCGAAGGCGGCATTGCAAAGACTCGAATTTCCAGCTCCCCGATCGCCAAGAATTAAGATTCGAGCACCGTGATGTAGAAGCTGCGCAGTGGTGTCTTGCACGATATTCTGCACCACGTTCCTGGCGGTTTGCTGGTGTTCGGCATCGTACAAAAATGAGGTGGCGGCAGCGTCAGACATGCAGAGCTGCACGCCAGCTCGCGCAAGCTGGTACCGTGCTGTTTCTGGAAGCTCCTGTAGGTAGTGTTATTAGGGGTACCCCGAAAAGGGTACCCCTTCTGAACCCTACTTTTGGCTCTCTTAAAAGGGACCTTATTGAGAGGGTCTATATCCCCAAGGGTCCCCCTAATCCTAGCTCCCATCCTGCTGCGAGCTTCTCTGAATGGCATCTCGGTAGCTTGGCACTTGGAAGAGGATCCCAATGTCAGTCGCCGCGACTTCCTGGGACTCTTGCTCGGACAATCTCTGAAACAGGAACGCCAGAACTAGAGCCGCCTCGTCCTCAGTATGGCTGAGGACTCCGAGTCGTTCGCATTGAGATTGAAGCTCCAAGAAGTGGTGCAGCTTTTGATGGACTTCCCCGGCATCCGTCCCAACGTTAAAACCGGTCGCCCCCTCGCTCGTAGAGAGCAAAGTTTCTTGCTCGTGCTGCAGCAATGCATCAATCACTTCTGCCCAGTGGACAACGTCATCGTCTCGCATGGCCACAGCGCTTGCCATGCCGGAGCAGGATCGTTAACAAGAGCGGAGAAGTTGTGCAAGCTACGACCACTCCCGAAGGCTCCTACCTATGCACAAAACCCTAAACCCTAAACCCTAAACCGTCTAGCAGATCCCTCTTAGATTCACATGAAGCTCAAGGCACACCACGCCGACTCGACACACCCCAAACCAAACCCAGAAGCCTCATGTTGAGTCCAAATAGGGTTTAGGGTTTCTAGGGTGATCCCTAAACCCTAAACCCTAAAACCCTAAAACCGTAAACCCTAAATCCTAAACCCTAAAACCCTAAACCCTAAACCCTAATTCGTAAACAATACAGACCTCAAGCGGAATCCCAAGCGCTGGGATTTCCGGATGGCTTCCCGTGTTGAGCCGGAGGCGGACACAAAGATCCAACGAAGCACTGATTGAGGCGTTTAGGGTTTAGGGTTTAGGGTTTAAGGCTTAGGGTTTAGGGTTTAGGGAATTTGGTTCTTTTGGTTCGGGGGGTGTAGGGCTGAAGGCTTGGAACCCAGGGGCTGGAGTTGAGGTCTTAGGGGTTTCGGGTCTAGGGTTTAGGGTTTAGGGTTTAGGGTTTAGGGTTCCTGCTCTCAGATGGTCTTACTGTGATAGGAGTCGAGAGCTGTAGGTCCTCTGTCAGATTACTAGCTTTGGTTTGGCTGATGTGGTGGGAGAAACAGTGCTGACGACTTCCCTGACACCCCAGACACGAAGTTCCACAGAGGCCTCCCGGTATCTCTCGAAGAGCACACCGAGAGCTGCTTTGGCATCCTCCGTCAGGGAAGCATGTACCTGGCCGTAAGGAGCACATACCGTCGGCAATAGGGCAGCGGGCAGCAGTCATTGTGATGGTGATGGTAGTGCTGGGGTGCATCACGTGGAATGCCATCTTCTTGCAGCCTCATACATCTCTGTGTTCCTAACGTACAGCAGCTAAGGCTAGCAGCTAGGGATTGCCCGTTAAAGCAAGAGAAAGAGCCGGAGCAGGAGCAGGAGCAAGAGCAGGAAGAGCTTCGCAGCATAGCAGTATGAATATGGCCCTCCAACACCACTACCAGAACTACAGCCACTGTCACCTTCAAACAGCAACTACAGCTACCGACCACTACAACTTCTCCTGCTACCGCTGCTGCTCGATGCTGCTGCTGAAGCTGTTGCTGGCAGTACTACCACCAACTTCTACGACCACGACAACGACGATAAGAACCCGAAAGCAAAGCCTTGGGGCGCAAAAGTCCCAGGGAGGCCAAGACAGGGCAGGGGTTTAGGATTCAGGGCTTAGGAACCGGATGTCAAGCCGAAAGCACACAGGCGAAACTTGCGCTCTAGATGCACGAAAGCTGGCGTCCCTCTTCTACGCAAGTCAGTCTAGAATGGAGCCTTCAAAAGTTAGGGTTTAGGGCTTAGGGTCCAGAAAAGGAGGCCTTAAAAGTTACCAAACGGTTTAGGGCTTAGGGTCCAGAAAGGGAGGGGTTAAAAGTTACCAAAAGGTTTAGGAGCATATCAGGTTAGACGTATATAGGGACTGTGCGGGGATACTACTAGTAGTCGCTGTTTGAACCCTACATTAGTTGCTTAGGGTTGAAGAGTTGTCGGTAAAGATTCAACGTCTAAGTCTTACCCTAAACCCTAAACCTTAAACCCTAAACCCTAAACCCTAACCCTAAACCCTAAACCCTAAAGTCTAAGGTGTTCTGACTCCGAAGCGGCCCTCAGATCAGGTTTCACTTTGGGAGAAGCTCGAGCCTGGGTCTTAGACTTGGCTTGGCCCTTGGATGCTGCTGTCGCTGGCCTAGTACAGGGGCCTGAATAATTAGATTAGGGTTTTGGGGTATGTTATACTATAACTATAAAGAGGAAACCCCAACGTAGTATAGGTAATGATATTAAGGCCCCTTTTTTTTGCCTGGGCATCCATATCCTCATCGCTGACTGCCCGGCATGACAGATGTTTCTATCACGCTGTGGGCGGGCACCCGCGGCTGAAGGCAACATGATGGCGTTGTCTGTTAAACTTTCTGGACTCACTGCACCAAGGCTTCAAACATGGACGAACCTCGTTGTATCTCTCCTGATTGCGAAGGTTCACGTTCACTGTCTCCTTGCATCCTGTCTGCGAGTTCTTCGCGTGGAGAGGGCAGGCAGCCTGCCAGGACCACTGTTCCTGAGCCTTGGCGCTCGATCATCCAAGTCGGATTCTGGATTAAAGCACGCACGCCCCTCTGAACCCCGAGCCCTAAACAAGCCCCAAACCCTAAAACCTAAGCGCCAAACCCCTAAACCCCTAAACTCTAAGCCCTAACCTACCCTTAAAGGCTCTAAAGCCCCCCAGACCCTTCACGCACCGTCGGTGGTCACGTTTAGCTACCGTTACTGGTTTAGGGCTTAGGGTTTAGGGTTTAGGGTGAACCCATATACTCACACTGTTGACAGATAACAGCCGAAATTACCAGAGCGCTCCAAACCTTGTACCGTAGGGGCCTGGCTAATCAGATCTTGGGGTTTCGGGCTTAGGTTTCTGGGGGTAGGTGATAGGACACGCTGAATCGGGACTAAAGGGAGCACTCCGAGCCCTAGACTACCCCAGCCCCTACACCCTAGCACCTAAACTCAAAGCCGCAATTTTTACTACTAGTTACGGTTTTGAGTTCAGGGTTTAGGGTTTAGGGTTTAGGAGACTGAAGGGGCCTGAAGAATTCCAGAACGATCTCCGGGTCAAAGGTTCTGGAGGGATTCGGGGCTTGCGGTTCTCAAGGCTTCAGAGGCATTGCGTGCAAGGCTTTATGAACTTCAAAACTCTACAGTGCCTTTGGCTCTTGAAAGAAGAGCGAAAAGGGGTCAGGGTTTAGGGTTTAGGGTTCACGGTTTAGGGTCTAGGGTTCAGGGTTTAAGGTCTAGGGATCGGATAAATCGTTCATAACCTGGGCTGGTCTAACCCTGGCCAGTGGCACCTTGGGCAGCAGCACCTGCGCAGGAGTTGAGACATCGATGTCACACGGTAAATCCAACAGCGAAAGATGTTTCTTTAAGTGCATTGGCCTTTTCCGTGCGAGCCAGCCTGCCTCATTCGAGGCCTACACTGAAAGCCCTGGACAGGGGAAAGCGAAAGGTTTAGGGTTGACGGTTTAGGGCACAAGAACTGACAATAATAACGGTATTAGTATTCAATAATACTCGAACTAAATGCAATAGCTGCAACGAGACCCCGAACATAAGCAGGGTTAACGGTTCAGGCTTTCATCATGCTGCCCTACCCATTGGCCACTCTGGCACTGCTTGCCAAAGCCTTCGGGATTACTACTGATGATGCTTAGAGTATCCTACCACTACCATACTTTGGGGGGGGGACCCCAAACCCAAAGCACCAAAGTCGAGGGCAGCGCGGGCTCAGCAAATTAGGATTAGTATTCTTATTACTTTTTGGACTATAAGGACTATCCTGATAAATTACTATGATTACTATTATTAATTATTGTTACCGTTACTATTCTATTACCACAAGTAGTATTATGATTATTGTTGTTGTTGCTGTTGCTGTATCTGTTGCTGCTGCTGTTGCTGTTGCTGCTGTTGTTGCTGTTGGTGGTTGTTGTGGATGGTGATGGTGATGGTGATGGTGATGGTGATGGTGATGGTGATGGTGATGGTGATGTTGATGGTGATGGTGATGGTGATGGTGATGGTGATGGTGATGGTGATGGTGATGGTGATGGTGATGGTGATGGTGATGGTGATGGTGATGGTGATGGTGTTGGTTTTGGTGTTGGTGTTGGTGTTGGTGATGGTGCAGTTGCCGTTGTTGCAGTTGCTGCTGTTGTTGTTGTCGTCGTTGTCGTTGTCGTTGTCGTCGTCGTTGTCGTTGTCGGTTAGTTAGTCAGTTAGTTAGTTAGTTAGTTAGTTAGTTAGTTAGTTAGCTAGTTAGTTAGTTAGTTAGTTAGTTAGTGAGTCAGTCAGTCAGTCAGTCAGTCAGTCAGTTAGATAATTAGTTTGTTAGTTACTTAGTTAGTTAGTTAGTTAGTTAGTTAGTTAGCTAGTTAGTTAGTTAGTTAGTGAGTTAGTTAGTTAGTCAGCTAGCTAGCTAGCTAGCTAGCTAGCTAGCTAGCTAGTTAACTAGTCAGTTAATTAGTGAGTGAGTGAGTGAGTGAGTGAGTGAGTGAGTGAGTGAGTGGGTGAATGAGCGAGCGAGTGAGCTAGCTAGCTAGCTAGATAGCTAGCTAGCTAGCTAGCTAGTTAGCTAGCTAGTTAGCTAGTTAGTTAGTTAATTAGTTAGTCAGTTAGTTAGCTAGCTAGCTAGCTAGTTAGTTAGTTAGTCAGTCAGTCAGTCAGTCAGTCAATCAGTTAGTTAGTTAGTCAATCAGTCAGTCAGCCCGCCAGTCAGTCAGTCAGTCAGTCAGTCAGTTAGTCAGTTAGTTAGTCAGTTCTTCTTGTTATTATTAGTCTGGTGAATATTAAACATCAGTGCTTTGTGATTTGTATTCTGGCTACTAACAGGAGCATCGCCACACAGCTGAGCAGAGGTCAGGTCCACCGTGCACCCAGAGCCCAGGCCCCGAGAAATTGGAGTATCCGCTTTAAAGGACCCTACAGCGGATGAGGGTTTAGGGTTTGGGGGTTTACGGTTTTGGGTTTAGGGGTTAGGGTGATGGAAGCCTTCATGCAAAAAATAGCACCCAAGAGGACTCCATGGAAACCTTCTGGCATGGGGTCCTAAAACACAAAACCCTGAAACCTAAACGCTATACCTCAAGAACCCTCAACTAAACACTAGAACATTAACCTGTACTTGGATTCAAGAACCTCCTATACCTCAAGGGGATGCCGGCGTAGCGCTCCTGCGGAGGTGCTGGGGGGATGACTTGGAGGTTTAGGGTTTTGGGGTTTTGGAGTTTTGGGGTTTTGAGGGTTTGGGGTTTTGGGGTTTAGGGTTTAGGGTTCCCTAAACCCGAAACCCTAAACCCTTGAACCAACCGCCGGCTGCACCTCTGCCTGGAACTGCC